CCCCTGTCAGTGTCCCCGTGTCCCCAGGGTCCCTGCACCGGGAACCAGCAGAGCCTGGCCCACAGCCGCCTCTGGGACGCCGTCGTCGGATTCCTGCACGTCTTCGCTCACATGATGAAAAAACTGGCACAGGTGGGACTGGGATGGACTGGGATGGACTGGGAGGGACTGGGAGGGACTGGAACGGACTGGGGGGTGAGTGGGATGGACTGAAACGGACTGGGACAGACTGGGGGGTAACTGGGATGGACTGGGGGGTAACTGGGATGAACTGGGGGGTAACTGGGATGGACTGGAACGGACTGGGACAGACTGGGATGGACTGGGGGGTAACTGGGATGGACTGGGGGGTAACTGGGATGGACTGGGGGGTAACTGGGATGAACTGGGATGGACTGGGGGGTAACTGGGATGAACTGGGGGGTGACTGGGATGAACTGGGATGGACTGGGGGGTAACTGAGACGGACTGGGGGGTAACTGGGATGAACTGGGATGGACTGGGGGGTAACTGGGATGGACTGGGATGGACTGGGGGTAACTGGGACGGACTGGGCGGTAACTGGGAGCTCTGGTGCCCAGGACTCGTCCCAGCTGGGGCTGCTGAAGGAGCTGCTGGACCTGCAGAAGGACATGGTGGTGATGCTGCTGTCCCTGCTCGAAGGTACCTGGGGAGGGACACCTGGCGGTCCTTGGGCCACCTGCGGTGTCCCCGAGGTGCCCAGAGTGTCCTGTGGCCACCCAAAGTGTCCCTTGGCCACCCAAAGTGTCCCCTGTCCCCACCCCAGTGTCCCATATCCCCACCTGTGTGTCCCCTGTCCCCACCTGGGATGTCCCTGAGGTCCCCAGAGTGTCCCGTGGCTACCCCAGGTGTCCCTTGACCACCCCAGGTGTCCCCTTTCCCTGCCTGGGGTGTCCCTGAGGTCCCCAGAGTGTCCTGTGGCCACCCAAAGTGTCCCTTGACCACTCAAAGTGTCCCTTGACCACTCCAGGTGTCCCCTGTCCCCACCCCAGTGTCCCATATCCCCACCTGTGTGTCCCCTGTCCCCACCTGGGGTGTCCCCGAGGTCCCCAGAGTGTCCCGTGGCCACCCAAGGTATCCCTTGGCCACCCAAAGATGTCCCTTGACCACCCCAGGTGTCCCCTGTCCCCACCCATGCGTCCCTTGTCCACACCTAGGTGTCCCCTGTCCCCACCTGGCTGTCCCTGTCCCCTCTATGTGTCCCTGTCCCCACCCCAGGTGTCCCCTGTTCCCACCTGGCTGTCCCCTCCATGTGTCCCTGTCCCCACCTGAGGTCCCCACCTGGTGTCCCCTGTCCTCACCTGGCTGTCCCCACCCCAGGTGTCCCCTGTCCCCACCCCAGGTGTCCCCTGTCCCCACCTGGTGTCCCCTGTCCTCACCTGGCTGTCCCCTCCCTGTGTCCCTGTCCCCCCCCCTGGTCCCCCCT